CTCTCGGGCCATGGAAAGTACTAACGTTAGTTTCTTGCTGGCAGCGAACGTAATAATGGAGCGTTGTCTCAGCAGCAGGACGAATGATTGACCTTGTTTTACCACGTGATGTTTACGATATGCTACGACCACGGCCCTGACTCGAATTGACCAATATCTGTCGGTGCCTGGTTCTGCTTAAATCAAAACAATTATGAAAAATGACGTGTCAATGACTTCATGGCATGCGTAGAACCCCTTTTTTCACTAGATTCAACATTATACTGACGAGGAAGTACAGTTAGGATATGTTTCCCAGTCTTTAGTTGTTGTATATACTTTTCCGAAAACTGCATCCTTAGAATTACACACAAAATGAAATCTAGCAGTCTGATTGCACGTTTTCAATGACACATTGCCATCCATGGTGTTACCTGCATAAAATAACATTCCTATGAGGTTTCGGAAAAGTAGCAGACTGATATTGACTTGGAAGCATATTCAAGTGCCGGCATTTTAATGTTAAAGTGCACCAAAAACAAACAAATTCTGCTATTCCAGAAACGGGTCTCTGTCGTTCATTGACGCATTTATTCAAACCTGATGCTTATATTGAAAATAATAAGTGGGAAATCTTGAACAGTCACATTCGAACTGTAAATATACTTTATACATCGTGCTTTACATGTGGTACCTGCATTTATTTAACTATCGAATGCAAGATGGCTGAATGGCGACAATTTTAGTCCATGTATGTATGAGCGTTTTGGTTTTGGCATTTATTTAAGGCCCTGGAATGATGGAACACTGTTGAAAAAAAAATGTCATATGAGATTTCAACTATAGCAACACACAGTTGAACACCAATACACTGTAGCCTCGTTATAACGAACTCTTTGGGAGACATACAAATAGATTGTTATAGTGAAATGTTCACTATATTGAAGCACATAATACATTGGGTTTGTTGTAAGCGGGAGACATGTTATGTGTTCATTATATCAGGAAATTCATTATAAAGGTGTTCATTATATTGAGGTTACAGTGTACAAGGATTATATAAACAGGTTTAAATTAATATATCAAGTATAGCCAAGTATGAGTCTCTGTATATATTTATGTCAATTTCTTGATATAGTGACATTGCCATGACGCTTAGAATTGGTTAATGTGATTGGTTAGAACGTTATTACTTGCAAATTAAGGAGTGCTAGACAGGCGTGATGACATTAGGCATAATGTGCATTAAGATATATGAATATGGTTTATGCATGCAAATCGGGATGATAAATATAGGTGTGAAGATGACACAAATACTATTTCACATACTGACGCAGACAATCGAATACAATTGTCATGTCAGATAGGGGCGACACATTAAATTGAATTGTGTCGGTATTGTCTAACAATTGGGTTCTTAATAAATTATATTATACCAGTATATTGATGGTGTTAATCGTAGATTTGATTAGTCAGTGGGATTGGTTGGTGTATTGGCTGATAATGCATTGAATGATCGTCGTCCGCCACACAAACCTAAACGAACGCCGGAACGCAGTGTTTGCTGGTAAAGCATGTATTGTCCCTCCCTGTTGTGACTATATAGATTTCGAACCTCCAACAAAGAAAACACGATTTGTAAGTTTAACTGGTGACCATCAACTAGATGAGATTGAGGGGTTGAAGGACGAAAAAATGCACACAAAAAATCACGATTCACAGTTACAAGTAGCATAATGAGTCAGAAATCCGGTTTATTTCATAAGTGTACTTACAATGGGCCAATTACAGTCAAAATTGTACAAAAACCGGAATGAAAACGTGGAAAATTCGTTGTTTCATTGATCCAAAGTGTACACGACCATGTACTGCAAATTATGTTGACGTATTCAGTAAAATGTCTTTTGTTATGCTATTTTTTGTTGTTGACGCTATCCTATTCACTGTGGATACGTTTCGTTCTCACGCCAAATAAAAAAGTTTGTATTTAATTTGAATTGTGTTGCGTGTGTATTTTTTGTCTGTATTCAGTGTACAACTACATACAGTTTTTTGTAAATATTCATGTTCAGGGGCCATAATCATGATCTTGTAGTAGATGCAAATAAACTCTTTTTAGTCCCCGTTCGGACGCAGTCCGAAAACGGGGACTTATGTTTTGACCTCCGTGTGTCCGTGCGTGCGTGCGTCCGGACCTGTATCTTAGAAATGCCTGGACCAATCACACTCAAACTTCACACATACATCATACATGATATTATACATATGCACGTCAATTTGTTTCACGATCTGATTCAAGATGGCCGAATAGCGGCCATTTTTGTGCTAAAAATCATCAAAATCAAGCATTTCTCGGCTGTTTACTGATAGATTTTGTTCCAACTTGGTATATACATTAGACATTATAGGACCTTGATGCACATAATTTTGTTTCACGGTCTGATTCAAGATGGCCAAATGGCAGCCATTTTTGTGCTAAAGAATTCTAAAAATCAACCATTTCTCGGCTGTTTACAAATGGATTTTGTTCAAACTTGGTATATACATTAGACATTATGGGACCTTGATGCATATAATTTTGTTTTTCAGATAAGATTCAAAATGGCCGACTGGCGGTCATTTTGTTTTAATGAATGGGCTTCTAGACCCATATCTCCGACTTGTTTTGACTGATAATATTTTCAAATTTTAAATATTCATTATACATCATGTCATAGATAAACAGATATATTGGTTTGACGTTCCTATTCCAAATGTTGGTCATTTTTGTGCTAAAAAATCATCAAATATCAAGCATTTATGGGTGGATTTCGTTCAAACTTGGTACATACATTAGACATTATGGGTTCCTGATGCTCGTCATTTTATTTTTCAGATTGGATTCAAAATGGCTGACTGGCAGCCATTTTGTTTTAATGATTGGGCTTCTAGAGTCAAATCTCTTAAATGCTTTGACTTATTATATTTAAATTTTATATATTCATTATACATCGTTATATATATACATGTATTCAAAATGGCTGATTTTGAATGCTGTTCCAGAGCAATATCTCTCAATATGGTCAAGTACTTGTTTGACGATCAGATACAAATTTCAATCATTTTTGGAACGTGAAGTTTATACTCGCCAAAATGTCTGGGTTCCGCAGCTGCATTGGTTGGTCCTCGATCTGTTTCAGTCGCATGACAAATATGTCAATCCAAAACAAATCAAGCACCAATGACTAGAATGTATTAATGTTATTTTATGAGTATAATGTTGCAGTACTTGAAACATTTCTTTCTGATTTTAGTTATCGTTTTACTTTTATCAATATTTTTATATATTTCTTGGTTATTTTGTTACTTGGAACTTTACAAGTTCAAGAACACAGAACAAGTGACATTATAATGACCATGAGGCATGCAAGTAGTGATGTCAAGTGTCAAAAAGAGGAGCAAACCCATTCCTAAGTTGAGACTTATTTTTGGAAACAATGGCTACATTGCTTATAATACTACTAAATAAGAAACAATGTCCTTATAGTTTACTTGTAACTTAAGTTCATACATCCAAATCCTTTAGTCTGTATCAACAACAAATGTTATGAATCCTCTATTTTGAAGTGGGCAACAACCAAGTATGGTTGGTAATCACTGTGACCATATAACATATGTTCAGGATAGATGTAATTGTGTATAGCTTGGCCAAACTTTGTGATATCCATGGTAGTTTTAATTCGAAAATAAATGCAGGGAATGTAGAAATATCCCTTGACTTATTTTATGCAAAAATGTGCACTGCAATGACGTACGTTTGGATACCGCGTAAGACAGATACTACTTTGCCGGTGCTGTAGTGTCATCCCCTCACTAAAGGGCCTTCACAATGAACCCGGCCACGAGTTTACAATCCTCTGTGCACTAAAACAGCAGCTTGTAAACTGACAAGGACAGAAAGATACATCACACATTATATATCCACTGCATCATTTCTTTACCAAGTTATCACAGCAGCTCTGCCACTGCCGACAGATTGATAGAGTGAAATACTATTTCATTTAATGACTGTCACAGCAATATACATGTTTTATATATAACAGCCTTGCTATCGACTACTGTTTATTGCGCAATGTATTATATGTAGAGTTGATTGTTACAATTAGGGTTAATATAAGATTGATCGTTATTACATTTACGCTTGGTATTACAATTGATCAATATTAGGATGAATATTAAATTTAGGGGTGATACACATACAACAAGTGCAAAATGTCTCAGAATACTTTAACTTTATTAACACGAGTGAGCTCTGTATACGGATCTATCATAATCACATTCATAATTCTCATTATAGGACTTCAATCAAGACATGCCCCTTCCATAGAGTAGAAGATACGAGCTTTTATAAACTAATTCAATCATCGCGAAGAAACCAAAGTTACAACAACAGTTGGAACGTACATGATGGACATAGAGGAAGCATGGGAAGAACTAGTGCTATCAGAACAGACGTAGTAATGCAAACTGACATTAATTATATTCACTTTGGCGATGTCATAACCGTTCGTGTCGTAGCACGTGATATCAACGGACGTCCACGGATTCTAGGAGGAGATTTATGGCGTGCATCCATTTATAACACCGCCAGACGATTTGCATCTATGGGTAAAGTGATTGACTATAACAACGGGACATATACTATAGACTTTTACGCTGGTAGTCCGGGAGTTGTTGATTTGGAGGTTGTGCTAGTTCTACAGAGAGAAGCGATAAAATATCAGAATGATGTGTTCAGACCAACAGAGAAACGAGCATCTTGGGAAGGAGTCTTTCGAAGCAGCAACATAACAGAAACATCTCGTTGTGTTCTAGTTAGAGACAGCACGTGGATGGATAAGTGCGAATTTCCACATTCAAAAGCTTTAGGAAAGACTATATTTGTATGTGATCTACCGGACTCATTGAGTTGCAATACTCTTACATCTATATCGAATTTAGCATCTGAGACATATGCAGATATGATGAAAATGGATGGTAAAATAAAGAAATTGTTTAAAAAGTGAGTATCATGTCACTATGTATTCTGTCACATCAAGCAAGGACTTTATTCACAAATATCAAAATACACTTTGAAACACTAATGGATATATGTATTACATATTTGGTACTGGTGAATTGACACAATTATGATGGACACGTAATCAGTTAACTTAAATATGCAGATTACTTGTGAGCAACTCACATGATGTGATTGCTTTATAAGATACTGTATTTTAATCAATAGATTATGTACAATTATTGTACATTAGTTATTTTAGGGGCAATATCAGCTGCAGTGCTCGATTTGCTGTATGCAAACTATAATAATGCTTTCCTACAACTAGTAATGAATAATTAGACATTGGAAACAACTAGATTAGATTGCCTCGCCTCAGCAGAAAGAAACGATACCTACGAGAAATGGCGTGTAGTGAGCAACTTTTGATATGTAATTTCAGGTGTTATGTACTCATATATTTCAGGCCGAATGCAGCACAGGTGTTGACAAGCAATGTTACTCAGTTTATCATCCGGGGTATGTATTCAGATTTCACCATGTCATCAATGACAACTGCGCTAATGATGCTTCAAAAAATAAACACTTTATTTCGTTTTATCTAGCGTTTGTGACATCAACAGCCAACGAAATTTCCTGAATGTAATTCTGGGAAGAACATTTCTCCATCATATACAAGTTATGTGTATGACATTTCATTTGTGTTTGCATGTTGTTTGTTTTTCAAAGCCTGTAAAACACTTTGGTCTTACAATACAACCCCGCCATTCGGAAAATTATAATGAGTATTCCGTTGTGTTTGCATCTCTATTTATTTATTTTAACAAACATTACCTAGACGTCCACCAATGACGAGATATTAAGACACTCACATTAAGATAATCTTTTTTCACGGATAAATAAGGAAGGTGAACCTTCAAAAATAGATGTGGAAACATTTACTATAACGTCCCCTAATAATTCATCTGAACTGAAATGTACATAGTTTGTACCTCAATATATACATTAGTTTGTTGAATAACAATTTTGTAATAATGTTGCTGCTTTCAGGTAAAATATTGTTAAACGGAAATGATAACAACAACGTCCCCGAATGTGATGTCGATTTACCTGATCCTACAAGTGACGGATATTGGCTTGGTACAAGATGGCACTCTTTAGTATGCAACGCAAAACAATGGAATGATGTGGCAGAGGTACAGAATTGCTTCGAGACAGACACGTGTTTTTACTAGGTGACTCTACTTCAGTTCAGTGGTTGAAAAAAGTGCTCGAAATTGCAGGATATCCACAACAAGTAAACGATAGCAATTGGCGCAAAACACTCGCACCGGTACCTGGTTCATACAATATTACAGTGAAGAATGCGTACGCATGTGATATGATGGACATACGAAACAATATCAATTTTACATTTCGACACCATGCTTTGTCTCGTCACAATGAGATCCCGATTCCGCGGTTTCCTTTCTTTGTTGACACTCTGGATAACATGGCCGCTCCAAAATGTAACTACGTAATCGCTATAGGTTTATGGGCACATTTTGACACTTGGACACTGGATAGCTTTGAGGAATTACTCGCAAATATTCGTTCAAGTATACAACGACTTAAAGCTAGATGTCCAAACACCGTAATAGCTATAAAAGGACCCCATGAAAGAAATATGATAGCTAATTACTGGATCTTGTATGACATGATTCGCATATTGAGGGATACCTTTAGGGGTGAAGGGGTGTTTTTTATTGATATTTGGGATTTAAATTTTTCATATTCAATAGCAAACAAATATAAAATGGACACACATATGCCAATGACAGTCATTAGAGAGGAAGTATACATATTTTTGTCTTATGTGTGCCGTCATACAAGATAGAATTGCGCACTGATTTGTGCCATAGATGCAAATTACGTAATCCCATGACTGTTACACGGTTTCTGCATGATACACATGATAAATAAATATGATACGACCATCTAACTGAATATTAATTTATTCCCTGACCTCTAACATAATGTGACCCTTAAATACAACTTGTTTTACAGGAAATTCAGATACAAAAATATTTAATTTGTAAATTGTAGAAAATAAGAAATAAAGGCAATGGATGTGGTTGCTCCAGGACATGAGGTTGCATACTGTGTAAATAGACTTCTTTCTCATTTCACATGCTATTTCTAAAATAAAAATAAATCTTTAATGTTTAGGAATTGAGTTAGATGGATGTGATTTGATCCCACTATGCTATGCCTGCACAATTTTAATTGGTTAATTGTGTAAAGTTAATTAGTAAAACTGTATATAGAACTTCTATTTTACGACAGTTTCTAATCATTATAAAATCGTCATTGATAAAATGTTCGCATTGTGATAGTACAAGAATAAAAAGTTATGTTAACCTTGAAATGAAACATATTGTTGATGTGTCAAATGTAAAAGATTTATGCTTGTAGCGGTCAGTAGCGATGTAGTGAGAAGTGAGTCAATCTTGTATACATCTCCATTGCAGAGTCTGGAATGCAACCGTCTTGAATGTGTTAACATACTAGTGGGCTAGGTTAAACTGTCTCCAGAGCAGACTATTGTCTTCGATGATATATCAAAGTACATGCTCAGTTGACACTGTCTAGAAGTTCATGTATTAAAATATGTTGCAGAATGATAACAAGTAATTCTTCCGACAGGAGTATAACAATGTTGTTCAGACCTATAGACAGTGATATTAATAACGATCTTTAATATAATTTTGAAATGATGTTAATAAATGTGTGATAATATTAAACTAATTTTATAATAATAAATGCATAATTACGGATCACATAATGCAGATTAATCCATAATTTGATTGCATGTCAATCATATTTTGCGTGGTATTGTCCAAGGTGGACTTTAAAACTCTTGTGACAAAGTTGTCACTATTTTAGTGTTTTTATTTGTTATATTGACTAAAGGTTTGTGTATGTAGGTTATGGTACTGTAATGTAATTTAATCGAATAAACGTGGGTTACATAATCAACTATACGGTGTCTAGTGAATGCTTGGCAACTAGTGCCCAGGTGTACATGAAGCTGGTCATGGTTAAATTAGCAGTGTGCTGGTATGCGCGTATAAATTGGGCGTTATATTAGTGGTTTGCACTTGCAGGTGTGTGTATGGTATATTATTAGTGCAGGTTGGATTCATGAATGGAATTGTTTTTTTATGTAAAGTAGGTTAATGTGCTAAGTAATTCTGCAGTGTGACGTGGGCAGTTGTACACCACTTGTCCAGGAGTAAGCATCTCCTGCAAATCTACTCGTGGCGAATAATTTTACTACCAACTGCCAAGGATTTCATGCTTTTCGTTTGTGTGAGTCTGTAGTAACTTCGCTATATTAGATCTACCAGATTTCATTATAATCCTTTTATTAGTTCATTCAACTGTAATGTGCTCGGTAGCCCAGTTGTATGCATTCATATATTGTCACGTTAGTTGTGTTGAAAACGGCAAGTACGAGTATTATGGAATGCAAACGTTTTTTGAACTTGATAGTCGTGTACGTTTATAGATGAAGAAGAGACATGTAACAAAAAAATGTAAACTGTTATTATTTTCTTTGTTAAAATTGTTTTCAATGAACGTGATTATGATGTTAATTCTATATTTCAAACTTTCAATTTGAAAGAAATGCAAGGGCTGGGAGGTTGGGGAGGTTTACGTTGTATGTTCGGTCTAACATGCCCTACACTAGGTAAACTGACTTGGAAACTCCCGATCTTGAAATTATGTAGATTTTGTTTACTCGTTCTAAATGAAATAGATGCTGGTGTTAATTGTTCTGATTCCTTACACTCCGTTGAAATTGAAAAAAACTTTTTGAAAGGCTTATTGATCTGTATATGTTGGGAGATTTTAACATTGATCTGTATATGTTGGGACATTTTAACATTGATCTGTATATGTTGGGAGATTTTAACATTGATCTGTATATGTTGGGAGATTTTAACATTGATCTGTGTCACACTTAACATGTACGTCTGTATTCAGAAAAGTTGGCTTACCGATTACTACTCTATACTTCGAATTCGAAAAATCAGTTTCAATTTCACATGTACATGGCAATGAGCTTGTGGGTTACTATTTTTAATTTGACTGAGTAACGTATTGAATGTGTTAGACAGCAAATTGATTATAGTAACAATTTGCGATTCTTGATAGTTTGGTCGACTATAGCCATGCACATAATATGTTCATCTAAACAAGAATACTAAGCGTAAACATCTTAGTAGCATGTTATTGGAAAATGTTACTCATGTAGTTGCCGCTTGGAAAATCTACAATAAAATCTACCAATTCTAAGAATTTGAAAAATCTATATTCTAACAGTATGAATCAATTCATTGATTTAAGAGTATTGGTTTTACAGTAATGTTTTAAATGCAGTTTTAAGTCTCTCAACACTGCGCAGGTCTTTCACTGTGTTCTCAATTTTATTTCAAAGTTGTGGAAATGAGAATAATATACTTTTCTGACAAAACGTTGTGCTCTCAGTTTAAATTTATTTTTATTTCTTGTGTCATATAAATGGCACTGTGAGTGCCTGGTAAATATATCATGGGAGACTGGGGGTAGCAAATCATTTACATATTTATACATGAAAGTAGCAAGTTCGTTTTTGTACATATCAAAGATATTGAGTACTTTGAATGTTTTGAAAAGAGTACGTGTATTAGTTCGATATGGACTGTTGCTGATGATACGAAGAGCTGTAGCAAATTATGAACAAACTCCAAGATTACTGGGGTCCAATATGTGTAATGTGACCCATGAACTTGTTCACTGCTACTAGAAGGTCAGCTGAGTGTCTCTCATCAATGCGTCCCTTGCCAACCAATGAAACAAATCAATATACACAAATATGACTAATTTATTCCAGTCCCAATATCGCATGACAAGTAACGATTGACTGCAAACAAACAAAAACAGTCAATAAGCAAATTGCTGTACATAACAATTCATACAGTAAAATACAGCATACAATAAACTACATGACTTGGGAAACAGCGCCCTCAAGCCGGTAAATTCATGCAGAGCAAATCTGACATAAACACAGAAAACACTGAATTAATAAAGCATTCAAGTGTAACATCAACGAGAATGAATAAATGTGCTGTAAATAGCCGATAGTTTAATCGATCATACACAATTATATGATGTAGTGTTCTCTGCCAAAGTTATTGCATCATAATCTATAGGCACTTGTATCGAGCAGCAGGGAAAGTTTCAGCACATATAAAACACAGCAAATTGCAAGAAATGTTATTCTCACCGTATTTATAGATTGACCCAGCAACCAACACAATTCTGAGACTTTCAACCAGTCAGGATTAGGAGTGCTCGATGGCAGTAAAGCAGACGACTTTCACAGAACTTCACACAAAACTTTCTCTGTCGGCCATCATTTTGGATGTCACTGACCTCTGACCTTCCCAAACCTGCCACTAGAGGCGCTGTTTACTTAAACTAGCAATTACATACATATGCATGTTGTATAATAAAGTACACTAACTATTTTTGTGGCGACTAGTCTCAATAACAATGAATAAATCTATATTTTGGCCATAACAAGAGCCTTTTTTGAACAAGATATAACCTGTTTAAGTAAACTTTCATGGTGGAACCCCATGCTAGAATTCCATAGCTCAGATATGATTAAAGTTGAATATAATGTAAACAAGGTGTACTCAGGTAGGAAGTGTTTAACTCTGTTAAGAACACCAAGGTTTGTTGAGCACACAGAGAGAATATAGTCAATGTTTTGCTTCCATGATAGGTTTTCATCTATACGGACACCAAGAAAGTTTGTATCATAAACCCGGACCAGTGGAGTTGAATCATGTTTTACATCAATATTAATATCTGAGTTAGTTTTAGTTTTTTTAATGTTCGCAGAAAATTTATTGGCTTTAAACCACTTGCTAAAATGAGCAATTTCCGCTTTTATTACCCTCTCAATCATCCCAGTATTTTCATATGAATAACATAGGCTTGTATCACAATGGCGGATCTAGGGGGTTCTTGGGTCCCGGAACACCCGTTGAGAAATTTATTCAATTTGTGTTTTGTATAATATAAAAAAATCAATAACTTAGTATAGCGATTTTAAAGTTTGGACTCCCCATACAAAAATTCTGCATCCGCCCATGTATCATTA